TGGCTGCCAGCTTGTCACGGTGGTCCTCATGGTAGAGCCAGGCCTGGCGGTCAGAAGGCAGGGCCTGCAGGGCTGCGTCCGTGGGCCACAGCATCGTGAAGGGTCTGTGGGCTGCGTCTTGGAACAAGGGCAGGAGGCCAGCCGTCTAGTGGAGTGGAGCAGAGGTGCGGCAGTGAGGGGCCCTCCAGAGACTGGAGTCAGGGGCAGGGCTGGATCACAGAGAGCAGGGACCCTAGAGAGAACTAGGAGGATTCTCAAGGCCACGCTTAGGCGTCGCCGTCCCAGCCAGACCTCTGAGCATGCTGCTTGGGGTAAATGTGCACACGGAAACACACCTGGGAAGCCCACGTACCCAGGTGCAGCCTGTGCACACACAAGTTCACAATGACATGCTCACTTGGGGAATGGGTGTGCACATGTGGACATGGGCAGTGTACACACACAGAACCACACGCAGGAGCTACCTTCACAAGCCCACTGAAGATCTTGTAACCGAAGCTCTCCGCCGCGGCGGTGACAGTCACGTTTCTCTGGCAAAAGACACTCATGAGCAGGGGTCGGGACAGGAGGATAGCGCGCCGCAGGACACCTGCCTTCCAGCTCCCAGGCCGATGCTCAGGTCATACCCGCGGGATCGGGGCAGTGCCCGGCTCCCAGTGTAGCACGTCGGGCGGCAGCAGGACTCTGTCGATGAAGTGCAGGACGCCGTTCACCGCCTCCTGGTCGCTGCTCACCACCCGGGCGAAGTCGTTGATGTATATGTTGCCCTGGGGGCGGGGCACGGGTGCGTGGGGGCGGGGCCTGGGTCTGAATGAAGTTGATTGGTGTGCTTAGGAGCCATGGGTGGGGCCTGAGGCGGGGAGCAGAGGCTGGGGTGGGGGGGGCCTGGGGCGCCTGGGTTGGGTGAGTCCTGGAGCACTATCTGGAATCAGGACGGCAGGAGGTGGCGGGGCCAGAGCAGAATGCAGGAAGGGCTGGTTCTCATCCTCACACACAGGCATGCGGGGGCCTGGGGACAGTGGGCGCTGGGCAGTGGGGTTGTAGGAGGGGGGCATGGCATTGGGTGGGGGCTAGATGGTGGAGGGGTTCCAGGTCTGGCGGTGAAAGGGTCTTGAATCAGCGAGGGGGCAGGGGCGGTCCGGGCTCACCCCCCTCTCGCTGAAGTGCAGCGGGTGCCCCGAGAGCGTGGTGACATAGCCCTGGTCCAGCAGCTCCTGGCTCTGCAGCTGCCGGCAGCCCACCACGTGGTAGCGGAACACAAGTTGGCGATTGGCTCGAATCCGGGTCAGATCATCCTGGAGTGGAATCGTGAGGGCGGTGGGGGCCCCGGACTGCCAGCCCTGTCCACTCCCCCTGCCTCACCGCGGGCCAGGTACCTGCGACAGGTTGGCCATTACGTCTGCGTGCGGCACGAAGACGGTGAAGGGCCCACTGCCCTTGAGCTCCTTGTACTCCTGGGGCGGGGGGAAGCGTGAGTGCAACGGGAGCAACCCTGGGCCCTCCTCCGGCTCCCACAGACCTTCCAGGAAAGACCAGCCAGGCAACCCTGACCAGACGGGAACACTGAAGACCAGAGAGGGGCGGGACACGCAGGCCACCAGGCCGGTCACTCACCAGGAGGTGGAGGCTGAAGAACAAGGCATCCCTGTCCCGTAGGAGCTCCTGAGGGGGAAAGGTAGGGGTGAGGAGCTCGGATTCTGTCCCAGGCACCTGTGGGCCACTGTCTGGCCAAGGCAGAGGTGAAGAAAGAAAAGCCAGGAGTGTCTGAGCTGGGGTCAGGAGGAGTTTCACGGATCACAGCTGGGGTCAGGCCCAGATGAAGTCAAAGGTCAGGGTCAGGGCCAGGATCAAACGTGGGGTCTTAGCCAGGATCATGAGTGAGGCCCGTGGGGTGCGGTCAAGTCAGGGATCGGACCGGGGCATCATTACCAGGCTAACCCGGCCGCGGCAGGGGAAGCCGTCACCCACGGTGCGGGCCGCGTCACAGGTGCACGTCCGCTGGCCGTCCCCTGTGCTCTTACACACGGCGTAGGGGCTGCAGCCTCCGTTTCTCTGAGGCAAGGGCAGAAGAAGGAGGCATTGGTGGCTTCCAGGCTGCTACTGTCCCACCCAGCCCCAGGAAGGCCCTATTCCCTCCTGATCAACCAGATTTGAAGTCAGCGGAGAGTGGCCGGCCCTCTGAGGCCCTCGGGACACTGGTGGGAGTGGGGAGGGCTGGTCCCGGCTTCAGTGCCCCCTCCCTGTGAAATGGCTGGGAGGGGGTCTGACCTGGGAGCAGGGGTCCAGGAGCTCACAGGTCCGGATGCCGTCCCCACTGTAACCCTCGCGGCAGCTGCAGGAGACCTGCCCCAGAGCCTCATCAGTGGGACGACTGGGAGCTGAGGGCTGACCAGCAACCTGGATGAAGGGGGAGCCCCTCCCCAGGCCTGGTTCAGAGAAACGGCCTGACCACAGCTCCACCCGCCATGCTGACCTGCTGGGGGCCTGTGGGGATGCACTCGGCGTGAGCGTGGCAGCCGCCATTGTGGACAAGACAACCATTCACCTCTGGGGGGAGACACCAGGCTGAGGGGGCCCTGGGCGCCTCCTCCGCTCATCCGTCCAGCCGTGCCCTCGGGCGCTCTTCTCCTCCACACCCCCGGTCCCCACCCTGTGGGCCCCTCGGCCCTTCCTGGACCTGGGTCACTGAAGCCAGGCCCCGCACGCAGGTGGGGGTTCCAGCTCACCCTCGCATAGCTCCCCATCGCCTGCGTAGCCATCATGGCAGGGGCCGGGGGCCACCTTGGTGCAGTTAGCGTGGGGGGAGCAGCCCCCACGGCCATGGGCACAGGGGTCCACCTCTAGGGGCAGATGGTCCCAAAGAGTTGGGAGGGCAGGCCCAGGGCAGGGTGGGGGCAGGAGAGGAGGGTGAAAGGAAAAGGTCGAAGAGCAGGTTAAGCCCACACTAGGACAGGAGGGGGCTCTGTGGGGCAGCAACCCCAGGATTCCGGGGAGGGGCCAGAGTATCGTGTGTACCTGCGCAGTGGGTGCCGCTGCCCGAGTATCCTGCAGCACAGATGCACGTGGGTCTTCCAGTGGGGTCCAATATGCAGCTGGGAGGGGCGGCAGCTCAGCCCAGGCCACCCAGCCCCTGCCCCCAGCCCCCCACCACTTGCCTGTCTGCCCCAGAGGGGGTGCACTCACTTGGCATTGGGGTCACATTTCTGAGAGCACTGAGGGCTGGTGAGCTCTGAGGGGGAGGACGGGGGAGCATGGCGCTGGTCGCTGGAGCCCAGGAACTGCCTGCCCAGTAGCTGCCCACACCCTCCCCTGGGGACCCCACTCACTCTGGTCACAGCGGGGGCCCTGCCAGCCCACAGAGCACACACAGCTTCCATCCCCTTGCAGCCCCTCCTGGCAGAGCCCGTGGGCACAGTCGCACACTGGGAGTGGGAAGGGAGGACAGGAGTTGCCCGGTGCGGGTGCGGCCGGCGTGCCTGCCGGGGCCTCAGCCTGCCCCTCCTGCCCTCACCTCCAGTGCAGTTGGGGCCGTAGCGGCCCAGCTCACACATCTCGCAGGCCGTTCCGTGGAAGCCCTCATGGCACCGGCACTCCCCGCTGCCCAGGAGCCTGTCCTGGCACTGGCCGTGGCCTGAGCACACGCCGCCCAGGCCCCCCGGGCACGGCTCGCACAGGGTGCCGAAGAAGCCGGGGCAGCAGTCGGGCACCTGTGGGCAGATGGGGCAGGGAGAGGAGGCCCGGCACAGGCCAGGGCAGACGTCAGGGCGCAGGGGTGGTACATCTTGGGGCCACAGAGCCACAAAACAGCAACACATGTGGCCCCAGTGCCAAGGCAACCTGGAATGCCAGTCAGGGATAGGCAGAGGGCCTCCTGCAATGCTCCCATGGTGGGCTGCGAGCAGGTTTGAGCACGGACGGCCACACAGATCCCACCGGCTGCTGGCCTGGGCCCGGGCGATGCCTTTCTCTCCCCACCCCACACACCACTGCCCAGGAGAAGCACAGGGACAAGCATGCCCTCTGACCTCAGCCCTCTGCTCACCCCGTCCTCTGGCCCTTGCTTCTCTGGTCTCTCCCCTGAAACCCACTCGAGCTGCCCCATGGGCTCCCGCCTCCTCCTCTCTGGCCAAAGACTTCGGGTGGGGGGACCTCAGGCTTCAGGGCAAACCTGGATCTTCTTGGCACACGTGTAAGAACAACCGCGGGAGAAGGAGAAGCCAGACCGGTAGACGCAGCTCTTCTTGGGCATGTCCTGAGAGCGGGGACAGGCAGGAGGGATCACTGCGTGGCTTGGGTAGGGCAGTGAACAGGGAGAGGGATGGGCCACAGGTATCAGAGAAGGTGAGACCGACGGGAGAGCAGAGCGGTAGGGAGACAGCAAGGCGGGCAGACCCCAAGCAAAGGGTGTGTAGGCTGGCCCCAGCCCCAGGGTCGGAAGGCCCAGTGAAGCTCCTCCGAGCAGAGCAGACGGGATCAGGCTTTCGGCTACACCAGGGGGTCGGCTGCTCAGGCCGCTCCAGCTCCACAAGCCTGGGCCGGGCAGAGCTGAGTCGGGTGCCCAGGACCTTTGGAGCAGGAAGGGCAGACCCAGTGGGGACAGCTGTGATCACCTGCAGCTGGAAGCCCTGGGTGCAGCGGAATTTCCGGGTGCAGTTTACGCATTTCTCCTGGGGGGGGAAGGCAGGCATCAGGTGGTCCAGGGGTGGGCCACGCAAACTCATCCTCCTTCCTCCATGGTTGGCCCACTAAGCGCCCTCCCACAACCAGGCCTGCCAGGGCTGCTCTCCCTCCCCCTGGCCCTGGCCTCACCCGCAGGGCCTCAGCATGGCTGTGTAGGCAGCGACTTGAGCCCACGGCCAGGACCCCCGACAGGCCAAACAGTGAGCGTCCAGGGGCCTCCAGCCAGGGGCCTTCCAGCGGCACGTGGTTCACCTCAGGCTGGGGAGCAGGAGAGGCGGATGAGTGTCCCTCTACGCCCCGGCCCTCCGGGGGCTCTAGAGCCAGGAGACCCTCCAGGCTTGGCGGCTCCCAGATGAGCTGAGCTGACGCCAAGGAGAGGGGTCTCTAAGAGCAGGCTCGTCCCTGCCCCCCACACCTGGCCGCTGTGGTTGTAGAAGACCAGCCAGTGGGCGGGGCCCAGGAGGGAGTTGCGGTGTCCCCCTCTCCGCAGGGCTTCGGTGGAGAGCGCCTCTCCCAGGACCACGTGGTGTCGCACTGTGTCTGCGTCCTGAGGGGCAAGGAGACAGCTCAGGGGCGCCCGGGACCACCGAGAGGCCTAGGCAGCATGCCGCACCCACTGCGCCCCTTTGCCGTGGGCGGGGCCCGCCCGTGTGGTTTCACCCTCCCTCCTCGCTTGCCCCGCCCGGGGCCTCACCAGGCTGCTGCTGTTGCCCTGGGCCTCCAGGGAGCGGTTGGTGGGCACGAAGATGGTGTAGGCGGTGGCAGTCTCGATCTGGGGCACCAAGTTGTGGCGCTAGGAACGGGGCAGTGGTCAGAGACAGCCACCTTGGGCCTGGTCCTGACACCAGGAGCTGGCCAGACCCCCACCCCCAGCAGGCAGGCCCCCTATGGCCTGATCTCTCACCTGCAGCAGCTCCCGGAAAAGGCGAAAGGCAGGCACGGAGTCCAGCTGCTGCAGCAAGCCCTGGTCCCCGCGCTGGTCCCCGCGAGGAGGCAGCAGGACCTGGAGTGACAGCGAGGGCCGGGCTGTATGTTATGGCCTGGGCCCGGCTGGCAGGCTGGCCGCCCCG